AGACCTAGTATTTACAGAATTTCACCTACTCTATTGTCACTGCGGCCTAATACCAATTCAAAGTGTATGTTAATGCCATAAAAAGTCTATCCAAAGTTGAATTCTATTCTACTACAATGTAGTTGATTTGCAAATGAGAGCATACTAATTTTTAAACGTGTCAGAATTTTCAATGGCTACAAAAATAATACGCAATTAAAATTTCAACTCCACGTGAGCTCCTTATTACAGCCCATGAGCCCCAGTGCAAAGCATCAATTTGAAAAGCTTTGTTTTATCACTAAGTAAACATACCAACCAAGCTATAGGCTGCCTAGTAACCTAGGCCTAATGGAAAAAGGCAAGCTTGGCCAATAAAGAGTCCTTATCTGAGGCAATGAACTAGGAAATACTAAGAGAAAAAGTCAAAAGCCAAAAGGTCCTAAAGAGAGTTAAAGGAGCCTCAAGTGACTGAACGGGCAGCTCCTGTTTGAAGGTGAGATTAGAAGGCAGAGAGGGTCAGGAACTGGTTGAATGGACATGGGAAATCAGGGGTGGAAAGGAGGAGTGTGGGAGAGCAATTAGGGTTACATAAATTTTTCTATGAGAGACAAACTTGAATTGTAAACTTTCACTTAAACTACAACAATAAAAAAAAAAAAAGAAGAGCCTCAAATATGCCAAACTATGAAGCTATGATGAAGAGAAAAGACAGCATCAACTGGAAGTAGAAAAATAAGTAAATAAGAAAGAAGCACATAGAGACAGATGAGCAACTATCCTTGTCTGCCCAGATGTGTCTCCGTTTCTGGGAAAACCCTCCCTCTTAGCAAACCGGGAAGGCTGGTCATCCTACAAGAGCAACTGAATCAATCAGGTTAATGATTAAATACTAGTGTGAAGATCAATGATCCCATTCTGTTGGGGTAACTGGAGCTGCCTCAGATCCAGAAAAACTCTCACTGCAGACGCCTTCAGGGAATGGGGATTTGTGTGAGATTCTATTTTCCTTATTACCCCATGTTTATACTTGAAATAAACTTCTTGTTTGCTTGAGTCAGTCTAAGTTCTTCTCATCCAAACAGCCTTACTAAAACACTACTTTTTCACTGGCTTTTCAATGGTAGATTTACCATTACAGGCTGTGTCAAGTTACTTAAACCTTTACCTAACTACCAAAATTGTTACTCTGAGGGTTTTAAAAAGCTGGAAAACCTGCATTGTACAAAGAGAATAAAAATGAGAAACAAGACAATAAAAGATTCAGTGGAAAAAAAAGAAGATTCGGAGACACACAAATAAAGCTGGGATAAACCATGGTAGGAAAGAATAAGACAAGTGAACCGACTGGTCTACAGATAAACAAAAGGTAAACGGCGAGAATGAAACAGTCATTAGTTGTTTTTTAACTCGCCAACAAAATGAAATTATCAAGAGACCACAGAAACCCAATCATAGTTTAAATATCAGTACTAACAAAAAGCAAGAGGCTGGTTTTATTTTATATGACCACTTGAAATTTCTTCCAGTAAGTTCTATGATTCTAATTCCCAACTTTAGGTGCCCAAACTCATCTGATCTCAGAATTAAGTAAGTAATACCAAGTATTATAAGTGGAGAGTAAGGTGGGGGTGCAGAGTAGAGAAGTCCTGGCCAAATCACATTTGAAACACAGTATTGTGTCCATTTTGGGGGGTTCATACTTGAGAAGAGCATGAAAAACTAAACAGCTTCAGAAGAAATCAACCAAGATAATAATCTGGAAATCACGTCATAGGAAAAATGACTGAAAGTATTAGGAATGTAGAAAGCCAAAAAGTGAAAATTCAGGAGAGACACGGTAACTAAATACTTGAAGTGTTTTTAGAAAGTACAATGGTATATTTTATTCTCTATTACTCGAAAGAGAAAAACTAAGGCTAACGGGTACAAGTGACAAAGAAGAAGATTTTGACTCAACATACTGAAAAAAAAATCGAGTAATCTCAAGCCTTCTAAAAAGGAAATGAAGAGTCTGAAAATAGTGAGCTCCCCAACGACAGAAGTGTTCTAACAGAAACGAGATGACCATATATACCTTAGAGCCATCATAAAAAGGATTCCTTAGGAGAGAAAGGTTGGACCAAATAGATAATCTCTTTTTTAAATTTTTCATTAAAAGTTTACATAAATTCAAATGTATGTAAAACTTTAAACGTATACAGAAGTAAACAGTATACTAAACTGAACCCCCTCCCCCCATGTATATCTTACCCAGCTTTAACTTTATCAACTCCTGGCCGATCCTGCTTTATCTATACCCACCTCCTTCACTCACACACTCACACACACACACACATACATACACACACAAACACATACCCCTTATATTATTTTGAAGTACATCCCAGATGTCTAATTATTTCATCCTTAAATATCTCAATATGTCAGATGATCTTTTAAAATCCTTTTAACTCCAAGATTCTGTTTCTGTGGCTCTAAGACACTGGAAAATTGAAAAGCCCACTAACACTCAGAAAGTGAATTATGTTCACTATGTTCACCATTTACTCAGCCAGTTCTAGACACTGCGTCAATGTCTATTTTTCAGTGACATCTAGTGGATAGAAACTGTAAAAAACAAAAACAAACAAAAAGCATCTATCATCATGGAGTTGTATGGGTACAGTTACAGGCCCAGAACAGTTGTTTAAGTTACCAAACATTCTTTGGTTAGTTCATCTTCTTTCAAGAGAAGAACAGAGTATACAAAGTTGATTAGCAGTTAAGGGCGGAGGAGGGGGGTCATTGTTTAGGAAGCAGCGAGTTTCTATTTATGGCAATGGAAAATCTGGCGGTGGATATTGGTGACGGTTGCCCAACGTGATTACTGTAACTGATGTCACTAAACTGTACACGTGAAAAACAGTAAACTGACAAATGCTCTTATATATGTTTTTTACAACAATAAGAAAAAGAACAGTGCATAAAACATTTACATTTTTTCTAACAGTTAAAGTTTTTCACAACTGATTTACTTCCACCTATCTAACCTCATTTTCTGTTATTCTCCTCTATAAACTTACAAATTAGAAAAGCCCCATCCATCACTTATTCCCAAATATGCCTAGACCTTTAACTGTTCCTCCCGTCTCAAGGATTCTCTATCTCCTCTCCCGCACTCTAAAGCTTACCAGTTCAAAATACACAGCGCAATTCTACCTCCTCCATGAATTCTTCCCCAACTATCTCCCTGGAATTCTAAAATTTCTCAAATTCCTCAGAACAGCTTTATCACCAAATATAGCAAATGTCTCTGTATTATTATCTGATAGATTGGGGCCTATTAGCTTTGTAGCTCTAGCGGGAAATATAAACCCCTGGAGGGTTCCATTTCACATTTCATTAATATCCCTACAAAGTTTAACAAACAAGGATATTCAAATATCTGCTGCTGCATTCTATTCATGCATCATATAAAGTAAAATCTTATGTAACAGTGGGATTTATAGCTATAAGCTCCACAAAGACAAGACCTGTGTCTATCTTAAAACCCGTTGCCGTCGAGTCGCTTCCAACTCATAGCGACCCTATAGGACAGAGTAGAACTGCCCCATAGAGTTTCCAAGGAGCTCCTGGTGGATTCGAACTGCCAACCTTTTAGTTAGCAGCCGTAGCTCTTAACCACTACGTCCCCAGGGTTTTGGGTTTCCGTGTCTATCTTAGTCAATGTTTTATCCCTTGTACCTTATGCAGTACCTGGCTCAATAAATATTTGCTAAACAAATTTTTGTAATCTTAAAAAAGAAAACAACAAAATTATTATAAAAATGATTACTACAAATTGAACAACAACAAAAATTCAGTTTTAGACAAAGACAAAATTTTTTTAAATTATCTCAATATAACGTGCTTCTAAAGCTTTCCCTATTTATACTAACAGCACAACTGGATTGGTGCCATCTTTATGACAAAGCATTTAGGCTCTTATAAAACTTTTATTTTCACATGTTCATCATTTTCCACATTTCCTCTCTTCCTCTCATTGTCCCTAGGAATACATTTTTAAACAAGACGAACAATTCCAAAAGCAGAGTTGAAGAACAAGACATCGACTAGACAGAAGCTCAGCTACATTAAGGAGCGGACTGGATTGCGTCAAGTGATTGGAGGTGTGAGTCGATATAAAACAATCTGGTTTGGGACAGTGGTTAATTTGTTTCATTATTATTATGGTAAATGTTTGTAACAAAACATTTGCCAGCTGCACACTCTTCACATGTGCTACGTAGTGACATGTATTCGTCACATCACGCGGCTGTTGCCACTATCTGTTTCCAACGCTTCCCATCACCTGTAACAGACACTCACGGCCTCCTGAGCAGTGAACCCCCTTACTCCCTCTCCCTCCCACCTGCCCTGGAAACCACACAGTGATTCATTTTTATAGATTAGGTATATGAGATAAACAAGTCACTGAATAAAAGTTATCTTATTTCAAAAACTCTGGATATATTAATTGAAAGCTTACTGTATTACTACCTGACCTATAACTATAGAGCCATTTATTGTGATCATCAAATTAAATGACAAGACATGGGAGGAAAAAAGAAACAAAGATAAATAATGAATGAAATGCCCCCTATATGTACTCAACCTCTTTACAACAGAGGTGAGGAAATCACTTCTGTCACCAGATGTTAAAATCTGAGTATAACTTACCCATCACATCATTTCAGTGTGAGAGGGAAAATGCATGTTCCTTGACCTAAAGTACTTTCTAGCAAGTTTTAAACTCTAATACTTTGGCATCTTTCTTTAGAAGACTCTAACGTATCTTACCAAAAACAAATACCTAGAAATAAAAAATAAGCACCATCTCACTATTCTGCTCCCCACTTCACAAAAGTAGAAAAGGAAGTGATAAAAATGAAGTTGAATGTCACGTCTTCTAATCCCAACTCCATATCCTAAATATGTCGTATTTTCAGTTTAGGGGGGAAAAACATCCTAAAAATAAAATTAAATGAACATGTACTTACAGCCTGGGCTTGCTGTTGGAATAATTCATTCTTGTTCTCTTCATCTTCTGGGGAAGGGGGTAATCGAGAACTTCCGACAGCAGCGTTCAAACTGTTTGGAAAAACACTTGTTCTCCTTCTAGGAGTTAAGTGTGCGGGATCTGAAGACTGCATGGCTATAGAGCCTTTTTTTTCTGCCTATACAAGGGAAGGACGGTGGGCAGTGAGATTCGACTCCAAGCCACTGCAATCACATACCATCAAATACTGCCTCTAAGCAGCCAGAAACATTTTAAATGAGGGGTGGGGGAGTTTTAGCTGGCAAAGATAAAGTAACACTTACCAGGCGCCTATTATGTGCTAATAACGTACATATCTCATCTAATTCTTACAACAATCATGTGAGACAAGTATTACATCTCTGTTTTACAGATGAAGAAATTACAGTCCTGACAAGTTCAGTGATTAGCCCAAGATCACATAGCTAGTAAACAGTGAAGTCAGAATTCAAACCCAAGTCTGAATCCAAAACTCTAACACTGTTTTTAACTATTTGGTGAAAATAAGTAAGTGAGTCAGAACAACACAGGAATAAAACACGGCTTCTCTACATAAAAATCTACTGTTCTCACTAGCAAATCAGATGTTAACAAAGAATGGGTTATAAAAAGCACAGATTCAAAAGAAAGTGATTCTGTTACTGTCACCTTATACATACCACACTTGCCCTTCAATCTCTACTCAGGCCCGCTTTTCAACTTACTGCTTCATAAGACCTCTGAAGTTGTTGCTTTTTTCTCAGCCTAACACGTTGATTTACTCGGTGTTTGACTTGAGTCTGAAAATGCTTCAAAGCTTCTTGTTTTCTTCTTAGCTGTTCCTTTAGTTCTTCTTCAATCACACATGCTGAAGTCTTTAAAAATACAAGATAAGTTAAATGTCAGCAGTTTTGCCCAGTAGGGCTCTGTTGTAAATGCAAACCAACTTTGAAAAAATAATTCAGTTCTCTAACCCAAGATTCCCAGAAGAGTAAGAAAAGCACAGACATTCAGCGACGATGATCTAGACACAGCTAGTGAGCACCAAGAACTTAAACCAGATCACAAACTACAAACTGGAATACGTGAGTACGCAAATCAAATCTTGTTTTATTGAACTGAGAACTGAAGGTTCTTCATTAATCCTTAATGAATCATAAATCCTTAATGAACCTACATTAGGTTATACATTTTCTAAAATTAGTAAACAATCCAGATAGCTCACCAAATACGCTCTATTGTAAAATGCCTTCATACTCAGACGTTTGCTCCATTTTTAACTTAGCAACCCTTTTGTCTCAACTCCATTCAGGAAAGGCCTACTCATTCTTCAAGAACATCTAACAGCCACCTCCTACTACCCTCCTTTCTTCCTCTGAGCTCTCTTATGCTATGGCACCTCTTATTCTTATTACTTATTAAAGTTAGTTGAGTACTGTACTTCTCGACTCTTGCACTAATTATGAACTCTTTGAGGGTAGAAAATGTATTTAATTCTCCTTTGTTTCCCCTACAGCGTACAGCACAGAGCCTTAAATATAAAGGGACTCAGTAAATATTTATAAGTGCTTAATTCCAAAACATAGTCTAAACAATCTGGAATGTTTTATCCCATTTGAGACCCTGATATGCATTCACTTCCTCTTAAGTGCTCTAACAATTATAATCATAATAGCAGTTACCATTATTAGGGATCTACTATACAACAACACACACACACACCCTGGTGGTACAGTGGATAAGAGCTCAGCTGCTAACCAAAAGGTCGCCAGTTCGAATCCACCAGCTGCTCCTTGGAAACCCTATGGGGCAGTTCTACTCTGTCCTGGAGGGTCGCTGTGAGTCAGAATTGACTGGACGGCAATGGGTTATTATATGACAAGCATTCTGACTACATTATATCACTGAATCCTCAAAACTCCCTTCAGATTTTCATGAAGTTGTGGCAGACTGGATATTAGAGAGAGATCCACATGAAGAAATACCGAAGGCATTTAAACTATCTGAGGATGATGATGCAGGTAAAATAAGTTTGAGGAATTTGTGACACGTTGCCTGAGAAATGGGTGAAAACACGGGGGATGAAGAACTTTGGGCTATGACAGAATTTGATAAAGATGGTGGTGGAGAAATACATCACGAGGAGTTCACTGCTATTCTGACTGGTGACATTTAAAGAGTTACAAGAATGATCACTAAGAATGTTGCGGTTACCATCTTATACTCTATTTTTGTGCCTGGAGCCATGTAAAAAAAGAAACCAACTTAGATCGTCTTTCCAAAAGGACCAAAAATAAGTATCTTATGCATTTGTATTTTACTACTGTTAAGTTTCTTTGTATAAACAGTGTTGTTAGTACTCAAATAGCTCAGTTTTGTATATTTATAGACTATCTTCTACAAAAAGTTTAAACAACTACATCCTGTGATACAGAAAAAAAAGTAAACTACCTTCAGTAGTAGGAATTCTAATCCCTCATGTTACAAAAGAAGAAACCAGGGCTCTGAAAGATTAATGCTCCTGAAACACTACAGCTGGCAAATAACAGAGCCAGAAGTTTGTGTGACTCCATGCTCTACACTGTACTGCTTTCTCTTCCCTGTGTTTCAAATTCCCAGGGTCAAATAAATTTGGGAAACACTCGGTTACAGAAAGTTATTGTTTCAATTGTACAATGAACTTCACATAGCCTTTGTATCCCCTATGGACTACGCAAGGGGCAACACAGAATGAGGCGTTTCTCACAACAATCAAAGAATACATTCTGGGAAATTCACAGATGATGGAATTGATACTCAAATTACCTAGGCGTTAGACTCCAAAGATAACACCCTACCACCACCACGGATCAACTAAACCTGTTAATGCCCTCCCAAACTGAATCTGGTCTGGTTGTGTACATCCAGTAGAATGAGGCAGAAGTGTTAGATGCATGACTTCCCAAGGTAGGTCAGAAAGCAACTTCTGCCTGGGGCTCTTGGAATGCTCACCCTGGGGGAAGCCAGCCACCAAATAAGAATTCTGACTACCCTGAGACTATCATGCAGTGAGGAAGCCCAAACTAACCATAGAGAGAGGCCACGTGGAACGAGAAAGACTTCCAGCCAACCCCCAGCCACTCTAGTGACATGACCCATAGTCATTTCTTTCTTCTTTGACTAAGTACCATATTCATATTTATCCTAGCCCAAGAGCTATATATGTGAATGAGAAAGTCATCTTGGATATTACGGGCCAGCAGATGTCACGTGGAGAAGAACCCAGTTGAGCTGTCCCAGTCACCTCCAGCTATTTGAGCCACCTCAACTGAGGTCCCAGACATCATGGAGCAGAGAAAAGCTATGCCTGTTGCATACTGCTCAATTTCCTGACACATAGTACTATTTGCTTTGTGCAATTAAGTTCTGGGGTGGTTTGTTATGCAGCAATAGATAACCAGAACAAATTGTAAAATAATGTAATGTCCATATGTGATGATAGGAGAGCTGTGTAGTTTGGTGCTAATTTAATTATCTGGGGAGGGAGACTCATGCTGTTGCATTTTTAGGAATCCTGATGGCCCCTTGAAACTGGGGGGTGGTGGTGGGGGAATGACACATAAAACCAAGGATTAGGATGTTAGATAAAACCAGGGATTCAGAGTTTCCCTTTAAAAAAGACGATCTTAGGGTAACCAAGCTTTTGGCCCTGGTGGTGGTACAGTGATTAAGCATTTGGCTGCTAACCAAAAGGTCTGCAGTTTGAATCCACCAGGCACCCCTTGGAAACCCTATAAGGCAGTTCTACTTTGTCCTATAGGGTCGCTATGAGTCGGACTCGACTTGACAGCAACGGGTTTGGTTTTTTGGTATTCAGTATATACTCTAAAATGACAGAGCTCCATCTGTTAACGAGGGGTATTCCCCAGACTGTATATGCTAAAGCAGTAAAGCATTCTACTAATTGCTTGATCAAACTACGTTTGACTGGAACTGATCAGAATTTTAAAAATGAGGGAAGGGAGACATATTTGTACATGTTCCAAAACTTTAATATTTTGAGTTACTACATGGGGGCATGAGACGCAATCCTTTTTAAAACAAGGTGGGGTCAAACTGAGGTATTTTGATACAACTGACATTATAAAGATACCATAATTTGAGCAATTAAAAAGAGGTACTAATAACTTAAATACCAAAATACCTTTGTACAAATCCTACTGATTCTTCTGGGATGTTTCCTGAATTCACTTCTTTTCATTCCCACTTCGACTACCCTTTTTCAAAGATTTTCCTCTTCATTCCTTACCACTAAACAAACCTTGATACTATACTTCATCCCTAACTTGTGACAATTATACCCTAACTTGTCTCCCAGGACCCAATCTCACCCTAACTTTTAAAAACTATGAGTAATTTATCTAATCAAAACATTGTTTGATCGTGCAATTAATCCACAAATACTAAACAATGAATGAATCTCTTATCAAAAATTCCCTGTGATTCCAAAAAGACCAATACTGTATGAGACCACTCATGAAAAAACTCATAAAAAGATTTACACACAAAAAGAAACAATCTTTGATGGTTACGAGAGAGGGGAAGGGTGGGGCAGGAAAAATACTAAACAGACAATAGATAAGCGGTAACTTTGGTGAAGGATAAGACAGTACACAATACTGGGGAAGCCAGCACAACTTGTCCAAGGCAAGATCATGGAAGCTCCACAGACACATCCAAACTCCCTGAGGGACTCCTACAGGGCTGAGGGCTCTGGGGACCATGGTCTCAGGGGACATCCAGCTCAACTGGCATAACATAGTTTATAAAGAAAATGTTCTACATTCTACTTTGGAGTAGCATCTGGGGTCTTAAAAGCTTATAAGCAGCCATCTAAGGCAATCCATTGGCCTCACCTCGTCTGGAGCAAGCGAGAATGAAGAAAACCAAAGACACAAGGGAAAGATTAGTCCAAAGGACTAATGGACCCCAAGTACCACAGCCTGCACCAGACTGAGTCCAGCACAACTAGATGGTGCCCGACTACCACCACCGACTGTTCTGACAGGGATCACAATAGAGGGTCCCGGACAGAGCTAGAGAAAAATATAGAACAAAATTCTAAGTCACACAAAAAAGGCCAGACTTACTGGTCTGACAGAGACTGGAGAAACCTTGAGAGTATGGCCCCCGGACACCCTTATAGCTCAGTACTGAAGTCACTCCTAAGGTTCACCCTTCTCAGCCAAAGATTAACCCACTGCCGTTGAGTAGATTCCGACTCATAGCGACCCTACAGGACAAAGCAGAACTGCCCCATACGGTTTCCAAGGAGCAGCTGGTGGATTCAAACTGCTGACGTTTTCGTCAGCAGCTGAACTCTTAACCACTACGCTGCCAGGGTTTCCAGCCAAAGATCAGACAGACCTATAAAACAAAACAAGACTAAATGGGCATGCTAGCCTGGGGAAAGGACAAGGCGGCAGCGGGGGAAGGAAAGCTGGTAACAGGGAATCCGAGGTCGAGAAGGGGGGAGTGTTGACATGTCATGGGGTTGGCAACCAATGTCACAAAACAATAGGTGTATTAATTGTTTAATGAGGAAACAGCTTGCTCTGTAAACCCTCATCTAAAGTAACATTTAAAAAAAAAAATTTCGTGTAATTTTCTACCACCCTTATTTTTCCACAATCCTATCAACCACCATCCCCCTACTAAACCTTCCACCCCAAATCAATCTATCCTACTCATAATGTCCTGAACATACCTTGTTGGTTTCCTACTATCCCCATTCTATGTAACAGAGCATTATCCCCGTCTCTCCTCTGATGACCCAAACTCTTCCTTGAACTTTCCTTGGTCACATTAACCCAATCGTATCTTTCTTCTTTGATGAAGTGCTGTATTCTTAGCACTTAATCATAGACTTTTCCAGTTGTCGTTGAGTTGACCATGACTCATGGCAGCCTCACGTGTGTCAGAGTGGAACTGTACTTCATAGGGTTGTTAATGGCTGATTTTTCACAAGTAGATTGTCAGGCCTTTCTTCCAAGGCACCTCTGGGTGGACTCCAACCTCTAACCTTTGGTTAGCAGCCAAGCACGTTAACTGTTTGCACCACGCAGGGACCATGTACGTATCTATTTATACTGTTGTTAGTTGTGATCAATTCTGACTCATGGAAATCTCATGTGTGCAGAGTAGAACTGCTCCACAGTTTTCAAGGTTGTGACCCTTCAGAAGCAGATCACCAGGCCTGTCTTCCACGGCGCCTATGGGTGGGTTCCAACCTCCAACCTTTCAGTCGGTAGTCAAGGGCTTAAAACTTAAAATCTGTCCTGTCTCAGGAAATAGATTATGGTCCATACAGTAGATGAGTAATACATATTTCATTATGCTAAGTAAAGCTGAAGCAAGTTGTGGCAATTACATCTCTTCTGTAATCCTGATGCAAGAACATACTTATGACAGACCAGAAGCAGCATCCCAGTCTGTTCATCTTTCTCCAAGCACCAGAAATTAGAGAAGGCTAATAAAAAGAAAGAAAAAAGCCCCACCATATTTGGATCAAAGTGACACTCACATATGCTGGCATTTCCGAGCTATCTGGCGAGGCAGGTTCCACCCATGCCCCGATTGGTACCACAGCGTGGTTCCTCTCCGCCAGCACTGCCAACACGTCCTTGCTCTTCAGAGGGTTTAATGCCAGGGGCAGCCTTGGGGTATTTCGAGGCTTCTTGAGGGGGGCCATCCTTCCTGGCATCTGTAAGGGCCGCTTTAAAAGGTCAACCTCCTAACACTTGAGCCACCGGGCCCACGAAAGGGGAGGCGCCCTGGGGGAGGCAGAAGCCTGGCGGGGACTCCAAGAACAAGGATTCCGGAGTAAAAGGAAGCGGGTTTTGTAAGGGGAAGGAATAAAGAGGGAAGGAAAGGTCTAAAGCTTAAGTCCTGGAAGGAGCGGGGATGAGAGATCGAGAGAACGAAGACTCAGAGAGCAGTGGGCACAGCGAGCTGGGGGAGGGAGGGAAGGGAGAGGAAAATGCGAACCCGGCTGAAATAACCGGGAACCTGTCAAGGCAGGAAACGCTGAACGGCGGGGAATCCAGGGCCAGATAAAAATCTGCTTCTGAGGATCCGGGTTCCCACTCCGGCTGAGACAGCACTGGCGCCGGAGACGGTAAGGAAACCGCTTCCAGTAAACCGCCACTTTTCGGCTACGCCGCGCCCCGCCCCCTGGGGCCTTTGCCCGCCCCTTCCGGTCCCGCTTCACTTCCCGGGCTGGGGAGGCGTAAGGCGCGAGATCGCGGGCGCCAGCCTTTCGTCACTTCCGCTTCCTGTGTGGGCCAAGGGGGTGGGGCTAGTGAGGGCGCAGGCAGTGGGCGGGAGCTCGTGCTGCGCGGGGCCGCTGGGTCGTGGGTGAGCGAGACGTGGGGCGGGCAATGCCGCGAGGTAGTGGTATCGCTGAGAGGGTCCTAGAAATGAGAGGATCCCAAATTCTCCAGGGAAAGAGATGCTTCGGGCTGAAAAGCTGACTCTGGGCGGGCCAGGGGTCCCGGAGGGAAGCACGGGAAAAGGATGGAAAAGGAAGGCTGGCTTGTTAGGGCTTCCTTGAGGAACAAACTACGCCGACAAGAAATATATTGATCCTTTTCACAACGCGTTACGTTTTCAGTGGTATTTCTCACATATATTTGAACACTACAGTTTCGTGAGTGGTCTCCCTCTCTGCTCCAAGGCCTGTTACAATCCTAGGACACTTCATTATCCATGTAGAACTGTCGCCACTGAGTCAATCCCGAGTCATACCGACCCTATAGGCCAGGGTAGAACTGCCCCCTACGGTTTCCAAGGAGCACCTGGTGGATTCGAACTGCTGACCTTCTGGTTAGCAGCCGAACTCTTAACCGCTATGCCACCAGGGTTTCCTATCCATGTAGATTACCCATTTACTTGTTTAGCATACATTAGTGAAACCTGTTTGTATACTGGTGAGTCAGAATCGACTCCCGAGCAACTTGGTAAAAAAAAAAAAAAAACGCTCTTCTAAGCACTGGGGATATATAGCAGTAAACAAAACACTAATATTCATTGTTCATGGAATTTGCAATATAGTGAGGGGAAACCAAAAATCAAAAGAAACCTTCCAGTCCTATCCTGACTCATAGAGACCCTATGGTATAAAGTAGAACTCTGCCCCATAGGGTTTCCAAGGCTGTAATCTGTACAGAAGCAGACTGGCACATCTTTCTTCTGAGCAGCGGCTGAGTGCTTAACCACCGTACCACCAAGGCTCATATATTGAGAAAAAGTTACCAAATAAACACGAGAATAAATAAATAAATAAATAATCCAGGGCCATCAAGTCGATTCCAACTCATAGTGACCCTATAGGAAAGAGTAGAATTGCCCCATAGGGTTTCCAAGGAGCGCCTGGTGGATTCAAACTGCTGACCTTTTGGTTAGCAGCCACAGCACTTAACCACTACGCCACTAAGGTTTCCAACACATGAATAATAAATGCGTCTGATGCTGATAAGCACTGTGGAGAAAGAGGATAGGGAGTGTGTTGAAGGGTGGGAGAGGGGTGGGGGTGGGGTGGATGGCCAGAGAGTTGCACTGAGGTGGTTTTGAGCAACGACTTAAATGAGATAATGGAACAAATCATGGTAACCCTCAAGGGAGGGTTTTATAAGAGCATTCCAGGTAGAGGGAACAGCAAGTACAAAGGCCCCGAGGCGGGAGCAAGCTGGGTGTTGGAGAACAGCAATGAGGGCAGTGTGACTGGAGCAGAGTGAGGGGGGAGGATGTTGAGACAGGAGGTTAAAGATTGGGGGAGGGTGGCAATCATAAAGAGCATTGTAAGCCACTGTAAGGAGTTGAGATGAAGAGCCATTGAAAGGTTTTGAGCAAGTGAATGCTACAATGTGACTAATATATTTTTTTAAATCATTCTGGATGCTATATTGAGAACAGACTGAATAGGGCAAGGGTAGAGGCAAGGAGACCAATTAGGTGGCTATTGCAATAATCTAGGTAGGAGATTATGAAGTGCTGGATCAGGGAGGTAGTGGTACCAGGAGATGGTGAGAAATGGTTGCATTCTGGGTATATTTGGAAGGCAGAGCTTTCAGGGTCTGTTGGAGGTTTGGCTATACATGTGTGAGAGAGACAGGAGTCAAGGAACACTGTACGGGTTTTGTCTTGAACAACTGGCAGAAGGGAGTTGCCAGTTACTGAGCTGGGGAAGATGGCGGAAGAAGCAGTGTGGGAAGAGGAAGATTAGGAGATCATTCTGGGACAGATTAAGTTTTATTTATTAGACATTCAAGAAGTTGGTTTTATAAAGGAGTCTGGAGTTCAGAGGGAAGATCTGGGCTAGAAATATAAAATTCGGGAGTTGTTGGCCTATAGGTTTAAAGCCATGAGACTGGGTGAAATTGTCAAGGGGCTGATATAGACAGACAAAAACGGAGGTCCAAGGACTGAGCCTTGGGGTATTCCAAGATTACATAGGTTGAGAAGAGGAGGGGAATGCAAAGAGATTGGGAAGGATCAGCCAGTAAGCTAAGGAAGAAAATCAGGAGTATGTGAAGAAAATGTTTCAATGAAGAAGACAGACAATCTGGTCAAATGCTGCTAGTAGGTCAAATAAGATGAGGACTGAGAGGTGACTATTGGATTTAGCAATGTGGAGGTCACTGATGACTTTTAAAAGAGCAGTTTCTTTGGAGAAGTTGGAGAGCAAAATCTTGATCGTGCAGACTTCATTAAGAGAGACAGGGAGGAGAAATTGAAGACGGCAAGTTTGCACAACCTTTTCATTGAGTTTTGTTGCAAAAAGACACATTGAAATGGAGTGGTAAAAAAAAAAGAAATGGAGTGGTAGCTGAAAGGAGAGGTAGGGTCATGGTAAGGTTCTTTTTTAAGATTGCAGCACATATTTTTTATTGATGGGAAATATCCAGCAGACAGGGACAAAGTGATGATGCAAGACAGAGATGAAAGAATCTTTGTATCTGTGTTCTTGAGTGGGAAAGAGGAATAGGATCTAGTGACCAGTGAAGGGATTGGCTTTAGATAACAGCAGGGACAGTTCATTATAACAGAGAAGTGACAGTAGAATATATATTGATAATCAGTTAATGTGATGATGGAAGTTCATTTCTGATGTTTCTATTTCTATTTTTTTCTGTAAAATATTATTGTAGCTAGCCTCCAAGATGGTCCCTAGTAATCCTGGTATTCACATCCTTCTGTCATCCTCTCCTATGTTGTACTAGGATTGGTCTATGTGACCAATCTAATATGGCAGAAGTGATGGTGTGTCACTTCAGAGATTCGGTTATAAAAGACTGCATCATCCATCTTGCTCTCTCCTCTCTCTGTCTCAGATCATTTGATCCAGGGGAAGCCATGTATGTCATGAGCAGCCCTATGAAGAGATTCAAGGATCTGAAGCCTCCTGCCAATAGCCCTGTGAATGAGCTTGGAAGTGGATCCTCCAGACCTAATCAAGTTTTCAATCTCAGTCAATAACTTGACTGTAACCTCGTAAGAGACACTGATCCGAAACCACCCAGCCAAAAACTGTGTACGATAGTGTTTGTTGTTTTAAACTTCCAAACTTGGGGGTAATTTGTTACGCAGCGAGAGATAACTAATACAAATAGAAAGCAAAATCATCAATTAAGAAGATGGGCAAAGGGATGTTGCAAGTTTGAGAAAGGAAGAAAAGGTATGAAATAGATGTCTGTAAGAGTGGAAGTATGAATTACGGACATGTAGAATTGCTAGATGGCCTTAAGGACTCACATGAGATTCATAATTATGAATTTAAAGGGAGACAGTCAGCATGACTGAGTGTTTTTCTTCAGCTCCATGGTTATAGGAATGAAGTAGGTAGAGAATTGGATTCTAACCAGGGTTGAGGTTTTGCCAAAATATTAGTAACAAGTAAGAAAAGAGCAAGAGAATTGAAGATTAATGCAAGATAGTAATCAAGTGATTGACTATGGAATTTAAGCTAGGTAACAAGGGAAGAGAGGACGAGTAGGAGGAAAAAGACAGTGAAAAGTTAGTAGGATCCAGAGATTGTAATTTCCAGTGGGGGTCTAACGTTTGCTAGAGCAAGATACTAGAAGGAGTGACCTGAGAGATAGGAAGTGGTGCTCAGAGAGTGGATGGTTGGAAGTGAAAGTACAGAGGCGCTGCAATTATTGGTTCCATCAAGTCTATGGTGTGACCAAGGGAAGGAGGGCTGAGGTAGGTTAAACAACAAGACCATTAGAGAAGAAGCGGTCATAGAAATGAGAGTTCAAAGCATTGGATGGATTATCCATGAGGTTATTGAAATCACCAAGAATATGACGAGAATAGTATTGGAGCCAGGAGCAAAAATAGCACAGCCAGGAGCAAAAATTCTCAAGGAATTTAAGGAAAAACCTGGGTGTTGGTAGATGAATATAACTTGGAAAGCATGGGTGATATATTCAAAACTAGGGGTAAGGCTAAGAGAAAGGAAGGAAGAATGGTCTGGAAATACAACTGAGTAGCAAGAAGGAAACCCATCCCACCTCCACCCAGAGGTACGAGGAACAGAGGTCGTACTGGAGTCAGATGGGTCCTAATCCCATATGAGCAGTGTCCTTATAAAAGAGGAGAAGGAGCACAGAGATACACTTAGGGAAGACAGCCGTGTGATGAGGGAGGCAGAGATAAGAGCTGCAAGCCAAGGAATGCCAAAGATTGCCACCATCACCAGAAGATAGAAGGCCTGGAACAGATTCTCCCTCAGAGCCCTCAGAAGGAATCAACATGGCTGACACCCTCGTCTCAGACTCCCAGTCTCCAGAACTGTAAGACAAATTTCTGTTTTTATAAGCCACACAACTTGTCATACTTCATGAAGGTAGCCCTAGGAAACTAATACACCCA